CAGGGTTATAAATTAAGACAGGTGAATTTGGAAGCAGGTAAGTTGACTGGAAACTGCTAGATGATTGCTGGTAACTAGGTAAGAGGTACTATAGTCTGGATTATTAGGAAACTTATTTTTCCCTCATTCAATATTTAATGATTGTGGTGGTGATTTTAACAGAACAAGAAATCAACAGATAATAAATCCAAATTTTTATAAAGATTTGTTTATTTATGCTTACAGAACTGGGGTACAGGCCAGAGGTGTGGTGGGTGAGAGGATTCACCGGAGACAGAGTCGGGAGCAGAACAGGCAGATTGACTGAAGTACACTGCTGAGGGAAGCAGCTGGCAGGTCAGGAGAGGTCTGCCATGCCATGTGGGCAGTTCCCTGGCGGGGATTGAACTCAAGATGCAGTGGTTTGGGAGAGCTTCATAATGCGGTGCTTTAACCTGTTGTGTCACCAGGGAGAGCCCCATAAATTCAAATTTCTGACGTGTTAATCTTCTAATGTTGATATCTTTTCAAAAGTATTTTGGAATTTGATTCTGGAGTTCATGCATGTTTGAATCTAGAAATAGAGAACTGATATCCTAAATTAAATTCATTTATTGATGGAGAAAAACCAAATCTCTATATCATCAGGGTTGATATTGGTAGATAACATAAGAGTCACTATTTGTGAAGTTTTGTGTAATTGTATTTGCCCAGAGTTCTTTTCAGAGTTGATGTTTCCTTTCTATTTGTAATCAGTATTTTACAGGTCAAAATAGCATAATTGCAACAGTGTAGGAAAGGATTAATTGATTACTTCCCTACAGTTAACAATCTACTGGTAAAATAAAGCAATATTTCTTTTTTAAAAGGAATGCTAGAAAGGCCTTGAAGTAGAAGGACCTCTGTTTAGGTGAGCAAAAATATGGCATTATAGTATGGTGGGCAATTTACTATAAAACTCTTCTATGCATTTACTTTCAAAGAATTGCATTTCTCTTCAATTTTAGGTGTTGCTTAGCCAATAGAAAATATCATTTGGAAGTCATGAATATATAAATTTTCCGCAAAGCCTTTTAGAAATTGGTAGAATTTCACAATGCATTGGATTACTATCTTTTCGCTACTTACATGGATTCTTTCCCCTTCAAGTAGAAAAAATAAGTGTCTGTTAAATTTTATCAGTGGACACCACTGTGCTCAGTAGCTGAGGCCAGATATAAATTATGCCACCTTTGTTTCTTAAAATAAAAATAAAACAAAATCAATAGGTTCAGAAACTACTGGCACATCGTTCAGATTTCATCAGCTTCTTCATTACAGAAGTGAGCTGGCATTTGTGCAAACAATGGAATAAAGAAGTTGGCATTTATGATTAGTGAACAAAAGGTATCAAATATCAAAAATTTCTGACTTGGAATGCGTAATGTAATTTTCATCGTGGTGTTATAGGTTAACAATTGAACAGTGTCACTCATTCAGCAATCTTTTTTCTCTCTTTTTCTTTGGTGGGGGGGGGAGGGAGGACACATGCTTGCTTAGAAGGATACACCTGTCAATAAGACATTTTCATGGAGCACTAATTTTCTGACTTGCATTTAATTCCATATTTAAAGCTGTTGAGACTAAAATGTACTTCTCAGACTTAAACATACCTAATAATTGCCTGGGAGATTTGGTGAAACTCAGATTTGGGGATCTGTTCTGTAGATAGGACTGTCTTCTGTCAGGACCTCAGATAATGCTAACTCTGCACCTAAGGGGAACAATGACGATAGAGAATGACCCCTCATGTAAGAAAATAAATTAATTGATTAAAAAAAGAATAAAGGTAATGCTGGCACTGCAAACCTCAGGCCCACAGTTTGAGTAGTGCAGGGAAATACATTGTGATTGTCACTACAGTATCTGTAGTTTAGAACACTCTTAAATATGTTATATAGAGAACATCTAAAATCAAAATCAAAAGTTTCATATGAAACAAGCCATTATTATAAAATCTCAGTAAGAATTTAAAACAATCACATTTAAAGTGTTAGTTACCAGATAGGTCATCACTTTTGAAAAAGAATAACTGATTACATAACTGATATGTATTAATCCTGATAAAATACTATGTCTTTTTTTGTATCTTTTCTAGTATCATAAGTGATCTCATATTTTTGTATCAAGGCAATATTTCTTAAGTTTGTGTTTCTGTTCATTTTCTCTTCCTCCAGTGGCAGATGCCATAGGAATTTAAAAAGCATAGATCCTCTAAATTGTCAAGTCGATTGGAAATAATAAAACAACAACTTGCTAAAACTTTACAAAAAGATACATTTTGTATGGTTGCAAAAATTAGAGAATGCTTTTAGAATTTTTCCCTTTTTTGATATTTTAATTTTGTATCTTTTTCAGTTCTCTATTTAAGAATACTTAACTTTTTTTTATTGTAACAGTTTATTTTTACATCATTTTGTACATTTTTAATTCCTCCAGAAAAATTTCCCACACCCTTTCCCAGTTAATTCACGCCGCCTAATCCCACCTAGAAACCAATCTTTGATTTTTTTCTCACTGTGTATTAATTTAGCTTGAGTTTGAGTTTCATATCAATGTAATCATAAAATAGATTTTTTGTTTTCTTTTGCTCAACATAATGTTTTAAATACTGATCTATGTTATCGAGTCTATCATAGTTGTTGGTTTTGTTATTGTTGTTGGAAAGAATTCTCTTGGACATGCTATAATTTGCTCCTCTATTCTCCTATTGATAGAACTTTTATTCTAGTGTTTGTGATGTTTTGTTCGTGCATTTTTTAGTAAGACTTTTTATAGACATACTTTTTTTATGTATGTTTTCTCTCTCTTAGGTAAATATCTAAAGTAAAATTGCTTGACCACATAAGAAACACATACAAAAGAAATTCGGTTATCCCTTTCCTTATCAACATTTGGTGTTACCAGGTTTTTTTTCCATTTTATAGATTCTAATATGAGTAGTAGCTTAAGATTTTAATACACTAACATTCACTTTAGGATTGGAAAGTCTCAGAACCTAACATTAGGGATTTGTAATTTCGTTGCAGATAATTACAGTTAAGAATGCACATAATAGGGCCCTCCCTGGTGGCACAGTGAGTTAAAGCACAGCATTATGAAGCAGTCCACAGTCACTGCAACATGAGTTTGATCCCCGACCAGGGGGGTGACCCACAAGGCATGACAGACCTCTCCTGACCCACCCTCTGCTCCCTCAGCAGTGTATTTCAGTCACTGTTCTGCTCCCCACTGTTCTGCTCCCCACTTTGTCTCTGGTGAATCTTCTTGCCCCCTCCCCCCACCCCACACCTCTGGCCTGTACCCCAGTTCTGTATGCATAAATAAATAAATCTTTTTTAAAAATAATGTGTATAACAATAACACCACTGTTTTACTGATAGACCTCTAATTGAATTTTTATATTAGTTTAAATATTTAAATGTTGATATTGTTGGCATAGGAGGAGAGAACAGTTTGCCAAAAGGAAGCCTCTTTGTTTGCCCTGTAATCTTTCTCCCGGCATGCAAGATGTTTATTTGTTCTGATGCAGCCAAAATATCGCAATAGCTTTTGCTCTGCTGGTGAGGATCATCAGCGGGGAGAATTTCAGCATGAAAATGGACCCATTGTCAAAGCAAAAAGTCTATTTCATGATTACAAACTTACATACGTTCTGAATTCTGGACTGAAAATTGAAGTCATTTGACGTGTTACTTGGTACAAATTGTAGCAGTTGGTTAGCCCTGTTAAACAGTCATGACATGTGCTTGTAAATTTTTTGTGCTTTTTCATTGTGTATAGAACAGTTAATGAAAGAATGTAAACAGTTATACCATTAATGGGTGAATATGGGAGCTAACTACATTAATGTCAAAATATGGATATGACAATTTGCCTGTTTTATTATTAAAATTGGGGTGGGAAGTATTAGAAAAGAAGGGGGAAACTATTCTGATTCAAAAGAAATTCCTGAAATTTTAAAATTATGTTTTGTAATATGTTTGATAAAGTGTTCAGAGTAATTATAGGTTGAAAATTGTAAATGAATACACTCAAGTGGTTCCTTATTTCTTCAAAGTGTCAGGATTACATATCAGAATATCTGCTGCTGTCACTCCCAGATTATTTAAGAAATGTCTGTAATTTTAGATAATTTTCCTTATTCATTTAGGGGCTGTTGGGAAGATGAGAGAACATAGGAAAAAAGGGATAATGTAAGTAAGGTTCCCAGTGAGTCACATTTCTACTAGCATTTGAAAATTGATGAATTGGCATAAGATTTTCTAGTTTTGACCAAATGGTATTAAAGAAAAAAAATCGACATTGAAAAGCATCTCAGAAATTTCTTAGGTAATATAGAGAAGATTCACCAATGAATTAGTTTATATTTGAATGTTTAATTGAGTTTTTCAAGTGCTTTCTTACAAATCTGCCCTAGAATAAATAGCCAGTTTTCAGTAAACATTTTTATTTGGGGATTTATAACTTTAAAAGATACTCAGGTTGAGTTAGAAGATGAGAGGTGTTTGGGTTTTAATGATTGTATAATCTAATTTCCTAAGAAAAACCTACTAGTCTATTTGTAATGATATCTACAGCTAAGCACATTATATAAGGAAAGCTTCAGCCTCTAAATAGTGTGGGCTCTTTCTTTGTCATGTCCTGCTCCTCTGCACGTACCTATTTCTGTTTGTGTTAGTCATCCTCTCTAGGTAAATTGTCCATGAGACCAGTGATTCCATTAGCAAATTATCCAGAAAATGCTGTCTTTGCGCGTTGTGACAGGTCATGTCACTGGTGGATTTATAGCTACTCCAGTGGTTTAATTAACCTGGCAGTTGTCTCCTGTGCCCAGCGCTGTTGTCTGGTTGCCTTGGCATCTTAGTTTTCACCTTCTCATTACCTTCTCTCTTAACTAAAGCTCAGTTACACTTTTTTAAATTTACCTACCACCATCCAATCCTCTCTATTCACTGCCCCCCCTTATTTTTGATTGGCAGTATCATCCAGATAAACAAAGTGCAGATGTGCCAGCAGGAACAGTGGAGGAATGTATACAGAAGTTCATCGAAATTGATCAAGCATGGAAAATTCTAGGGAATGAAGAGACAAAAAAAGAGTATGACCTGCAGCGCCTTGGTAGGTACTTGTGGTGAGGAGCAACAGCACCTTGGCACCTCTTAACCTTAGTCTGCAGCCATTTGTGGGGAGCATTTTCCAGCATTTGCACCAAGTTATTATTGTCTTCTGTACGCCTCCTCTCCATCATTGTTTTTAATTATGCCCTATTCTTACTAGTGATTATTGTGTATCTATTGAGAAGTTAACAAAACTACTAGGAGGTATCTTCTTGTAAAGCTGTGAAAGCTACTTTTTATAACTAATGAAAGATGTTTAATTATATATTCTAATAGATTTGTTTTATATGTTTAACAACTTTTTATTAAGTTTAATTATGTACTGATTAAAATTTTGATTGTAGCACTTTTAAGACTGAATGCTGTATAAATGACATTCTAAAAGGAAGATACTATATAGGATAACATCATAACAACTTTTCTGTCTCTGTTCATATTTTAGTCTAGATTTCATGATTACCACCTGGATAAACACTTCCTTATGAGATTACTGTAAATGATATTTTAGGACTGCACATTTCTAGGCAGTTTTAAAAGTCATCTCTTATAGGCATTTAAGAAAATTGCTTCTTAAGACAGTGACAAGCTCTTGTGGAAAAGAAAGGGAGAAATGTAGGTCAGGTTTGTCACACATGGATTGCAGTTACATGAAGTGATAGGCTGTCTTTCAGCATTGGCCCTGGGATAGGAGTCCCTCAGCCTTTTACTTGAACCTTCAATATGCACCCTACATGTTAATGGAGAGAGTCAATAATCAGTTATAGCCTGTGGGGAAAACACTCAATTGCACTCTGCAATAGCATTCCAGCTTGCATTGACTCGCATGTGTTGATAAAAGCTTGCTGTCTCTGTAGTTGATTATTGACTCCTTCCATGCCCTACACTGGCCTATCATCAAGCCACACAAAATGATTTCAAGGTTCCTACTAGTAACGTTATGAGAATTTGATTTGAAAAATAAGACTTCATTGGTAAAGCACAACATTATAGGATAGAGCTAATGATACATAGAGAAAGAATATCCATATTTATTTTCAGAGGAAGTTGTACTTGTAAAATTTTTCCCTAGTAAGCATTGTACTATGATGCCTAGACTTCGTAAGTGGTTTGTTTAAGTACTGGAGCACTTGTTTTTAATGGTAATTTCTTTTATGCTCTGGGATTTTGGTTTTATGGAAATAGCTATGTACTACACTGTATCACAAGGGATCTAGTATGTAGATCATTGATCAGTTCACTGCCAAGTTCAGGCAAAACAGGTACAGTGAAAGTTGGACCTGATTCATGATTCAGATATAGAGGCAGATACTCTGTTTAGAGTTTGTATGGTGTCTGTTTGTTTTGTAAGCTTTTCAAGAAGATACCAAATTGAGCTACATAATAGGAGGATATTAAAAATAAGACGCTTCGTGATATTTTTAAACCTCAGTCCACAATCTAAATGGTTCCCTTTTGTAGCCCAAGGCTCCAAATAGTGAGAATAGTTTATTTCAGTTTCAAATTGAGGTTGTTTACCACTTAGATTATACTAGTCTGTCATCCAAATTAAGCTTGCCATACTAGATTTCTTTTAAATTTTTCGTAAGAGCTTAGTTTCGTGTTGTCACTTTTTTTGAATCACCATTTCAGTCAATGACTCCTCAAAAGAAAGAGATGAACTTGAACTTCTAACAGTGAGGATTTGGATTTGATAGAAGGAAAACCTCTGAGAATGATAATTTGTTAAAGAACAGGATAAGTTACTAAGGAAGAGAGAATTTGTTATAATCAGGTCAAAGCACTTTTTTCCTGGGTCAGTTCCTGAGGTCATAGAAATAGCTTTGTTACACAGAACTGTTTTGCATGTGGTGATAGTTCTTTGTAGAACTTTGTTTTCAATAGGTTGTTTGTTTCTTGTCCTCCATTAACTTGCAGTATAAAATAAATTTGAGCACTATAGTTCTTGGGAAGGCGGCAGAAGATGTTTCATTGGCTGATGGATGTCGAATGCCTTCTTGTATTTCACAACTCAGATTTGATAGTCTGTTGTCATGAAAGCCACATCGATATTGTGCACAACCATTTATTTCTTTAAAAGATCATTTAAAGGATCCCCTGACATCCATATTTCTTTGCTTTACAAAAGAATTTATCAAATGCTTTTCTTTTTAAAATAAAGGGGAAGCCTGGGCAGATAGCCTAAATTAAAGTACCTTTTTTTTTCCCTCTTCCTTACTCCCACATCTAATATACTTAGTTGACATTTTAAGGCAATGTTGATCAGGCTACAGAAAAGCAAATCTAAAAAATGAGTAATATTCAGCTCCTGGATATTATACATTGTGAAAGCAATGTTAGCAAGTGAATTTAATCAATTAGTTCCAGTTGGTATATTTACCCTATTATTTGTAAGGATGTTTCCAAAGGTTGCTTCCCATGTTCCCTTGAAAAGCATGTAGTTGTTCAAGATTAGGCTTTGCATTTCAGACAACCAGAGGAGCACTTTGGAACATCTTTCCAGGATTTACAAAATGTTCACAATTGTAATATCTTTTGATTAGATTTTAGTGCCGTTTAAGTCTTGTGGATTGTTTTCTCATATATTAAAATACATTATAAAACAGAAAGCATCTCAGGACAACAGGAAGGCTCATGCTATAGTAACTTGCTAATATCTCACACAGATACCTAATGTGTCTGTGGCTTTATAGACTACTGCAGAACATGAGTGAAGTTACTTCTCTATGACCTGAAGAGGAACAAATTGTCTTCAAATGAAATCAAATTAATGTTGTAAAAAATAAGTGAATTCTGTCTGAAATCCTTGCTGATGTATTAGTTTATATTAAGTGTCTTGATTCTCTATTAGTGAATTATTTTGTGAAGGCTTCATTCTACTCAATTTGCCAAGTACTTAAATACTCAAACAGGCTGGCTCTGAATTTTATGAGACATTGGAAAGTTAGCTTTTATGTATAATTGCTTAAACTCAAAATAAGAATCTTTCTTGGAAAATAAGTTGTTCTTAAATATTGATTAATCCCCTAAAAAAAGAAATAATACTTTTAAGTGCAGATAATGTGAATTTGGGTTACTTAATAAGAAAGACATAAGACATTACTGGCTTAATGACTTATGTTAAACTGTATGCTAAAACTGACCCTTTCAAAATATTTGTTCTGATCAAAATAGGGTTTCCATTTATGATCATATCAGTATTTCCATTTGATTTTAGGAATTTGAAAATTGGCTATAAAAAATGTGCTTCAGGTAAAACTTGCAGATAAGCATCAGGGGGCATGTTTTTTTGGTGACTGTTTCTGGGAAAAGTAAGTATGTGAAATGATGCAGAAAATCCATTTAGACAGTTAGGGACTGGCATTTTCTTCAGAGGAAAGGAAGAAGAGAGTATAGATAAAAATTTCTGAGAAGGTTCTGCTCCACATTATTTTCACATGAAGGTGACTGTTCACATTATTTGTTACTTATTTGAATGCAATAACTGTTTTTTACAATGAAAATGTATTTATGACAATTTCCTCCATGATTTTGAATAAAAATTTAGCTCTTTTCAAATATATTAAAACATCTGAAAAAAATTAAAATTCTCGTATATTTGGGCATGTTGGGAGTTTTGTAGAAATTTAGAATTTTAGGAAGTTTTTATCGCCACTTTTAACCTCTCTCCCAGTTTCTACTTGAACCAATTAAAACTTGTGGGTCCAGTACCAAATTGGGTCATTTCTCCTTGTTTCTTCCTCACACTTGAAATCTTAGTTTCATATGATATTCTGATTGCTTCTGTTTTGTTCAGTTACAATTTATTTGAAATGTGTGTTCACATTTCTTTTTAATTTTTATTTATGTGATGTTTTTATTATCACAGCTACCACAGTCCCTGCCCAGATTATAACACATTCAGATTATTTCCATGCTACGTGCCTTCTCCAACATTGTTTACAGTTTGACTAGCCTAGCTTTTTTTATGCTCGCTTCCTTGTTTAAGTACTTTTATAATCACCCTCAACAAAACATTTACCCAGTCACTGGAATCTAAATGGGGCAGAAGCGCTTACCTTTTCTAACCTCATGTCCAATTTCAGACCTAATATGATTCTTTTCCCCAGATCCACTTAGGGGTTCTACTTCTTTTCCCTACTTAGACCATCTACCCATTATATTTATCATCACTTATTCTTTGCCCTAGGTCCAGCTTAAATCCTCCTGGCTTCTCTTGCCTCCCACTTCACCACAAAGAGCCTTCCCTGACATGCTAATCCATCAGTTCTAGCCATTGAATTTAGCAACAAATTATTTTGATTATTTTTTCCTCTGTGATTCCCCATCTGTTGGTTCTGTGTTTGGTATTTTCAACAGCTTAATTATATAAACTCTGGTTTTAACAATAATGGGTCATCTTTGCTGATATGGGACCAATATCAGCAAAGTATACCAAACTTAGTAACATTCTTAGAAATCCAGGCAGGGTCAACAGTTGCTGCCTTCTAACACTGTGGTACTTGAAGCTTTTTACTCCTTAATAATGGATTGGCATTTAGTCAGTTTGTTACGGTCTGAAATCAACACAAGTATCGTGATCATTAACAGTTAAAACAGCTGTCTTTAATAAGAGCTAGAACTGTGGTAATTGTCTTATAATCATTGTTTAATACCTTTATGAAGACGATATTAATATCTATTCCAGAGAGACTTGAAGGTTCAGATACCATTTGATTAAGGTCACATAGCTAGTAATTGATAGAGGGGAATTCAGAGCCATTCTCTCTAACTCTTTATCACTGTTCTGGGCTTGAATAGTTTTGAATAGGTGTGTACAACCTGCTATTTTTGCACATTGTCATGAATGAGGCCATTTTAGCCTTAGACGAAAGGTCAGGCCTACTTCTTGCTGCTTTACCTGTCCTGTAATGAAGCATGGAATTCAGTTCCAAGGTTTCATTTGGTACCTTTCATCAGCATCAGGTTTATACACAGTTATTAAAGCACTGCAGTTCTTCTAGTCCATAATTAAACTCTGAGTTTGTAATTTTTCTTCAACATGGAAAGCTTTGCACTCTTAATTTCATCTGGGAAAACGATTATAGAGTTTATAATTAAATGAGCAGGTTTCAAGTTAAATGTTGCTTAATTCTGAATCTCTTATCAAGGAAGAGACTGTTCCAAGCACAGGATAAGGAAACTGATTACATTTAAGTGAGTTCCTACATGAAAAATTGAATTATGTATACTGACATGATTTTAAAGAACAAGATGATTGTTGAAATTATTTGGTTTTGAAAAACAACAATTTGACCTAGAAAACACTGCTGTTGGTTTTTAACTTAACACACAGATAACCTCAGTTTGAAATAAACTTTAAAGTATTTTTAAAGGCATAAAAAGAAGTCAGTGGACTAAATGCTAACTGAGAGCATTCTGGGGACTTGACCACTTGAGTAGCATGACACTGCTACACATGAATGAATAGTAGGGATAGAGCCGCAGATGGACTTGATCTGTTGGTCAATATGGGGTTGAATGAGACTTTTAGGAATCTCAGCTATAATGAATAAAATTAAATTCCTCCCTCTATAGCTTTTTGTTGCTGTTATTTATTTATTTTTGCTTATTTATTTGAATTGCAGCTACAGTTAGAAAAGGTTTCTTGGGATTAGGAAGTGTAATTATTTCAACTGCAAAGAGTTGTTTTAGAAATTTTACTATCATTAGGAGGAAGTGTTAAAAGACTGGAATTCTATTGTCTTGTAAGAAGTAAGAAATATTTGATTCCCAAATGGAGCTGAAAAAAACCTTTCCTCTTTTAGAAAGTTGTGAATGACCCAGCGAGAGCTCTAGTAAGCTTTACTGAACCAAGCTGCTAATCGTTATTTAATGTTATTCTTCAGTGTGAAAGAATCTCCCTAGATTTTCCTTTTAATCTCTTTGAATTGCGGGCTCATAAACCTCTCTGATGAGTCCTGCCAGTGTTTTCTTAGATCCCACTGTTGAGACAATGGAGCCACAGAATTCTTTCACCTCTTGTTGTCAGACAAATCCAATAGAACGCAAGGTCAGAAGGGCCTATACTTCTAAAGGTTGAAAGATTCTTTTTCAAGTAGCCACATAAATTATTTGATTTTATCAGTATGGTCCTCAAGAATTTATATGTGCTTTCTATATGTATGTGAATTTGAATTTTTTTCTTGTATGTATATTTGGCTAAGCTTGCGAGCACAACACAGGATATGAGTGAATGAATGAACCTTACTACTGCTAGAACATGTAAAAAATTTTGAACCCATACACTTCAAAAGAATTAGGAATTGTGTAATGTCATTGGATTCAAAACAGAGTACACCAATGCCAGGCAATGCAATTTCTTTGTAAAAGGCAAGACTCCCCCCACCACGCTCCCCCCCAACTCACTTTTTACCATTCTGCTACAATTTCAGATTTAAATCTTGGACTTGTTCCTTTAATTTACTCAGTTTCTAACTCTCAACATTTTTAATAATGTTACATTAACAGGAGAATTTTGAGGTAGAATTTACATTTTCCTATACCTATTACAATATTTCATTGGGGAATAAACAAAAATATTTCTAATATGTTATACTCAAAAGAAAAGGAACTTATCTGGTTTGCCATGCCTGATTAGTAGACAATTATCAAAGCTAATTACAGGGTTCTTGTGAGTTACTTTAAGGGCTAGGAATGAATTAAGTTTTCTAATTATAACTACAATGGTGGACAAGCAGAGATCATTGTTTAAAAAACAACAACATTAATTTGTTTGTGCTCTTTCCTTGTAATAATAGTGGAGGGGGAGCAGGGGTTGCTCTAGCCCCATTCCCTGAACACCTGCCTCTCAACAAAGGATCTTGGTCACCTCCTCCCCGGCCACACACACCACCTATTTAGATTTACCTTTTACTTGTATGCACTCCAGGCTCATTAAACAATTCTCAAGGCATTCAGTTTTCCCTGCAGTTAATCACCCTAGTCTTTTTGAGACTCTTAACTTCTCACCCCTAACTTTTCTTATTTTTATGAAAAATTTTCATTATTGTCTCAGTGTACTACCTTTAAATCTTTTTACTGAAATGTAACACAGAGAAGTATAATACAGAGAAGTGTAATGAGTATAATGCAAAGGATATACGTGCAGAGAAGTACACGGATCCTAAGTGTACAGCTTGGTGAATTTTCATAGTAAACACACCCACCTAATGAGCCACCGAAGTCTCCTATAACTGTTGGTCATCACTCACTGCCCCATGTCCAACACTGCTCAATAATTTTGCTTGTTCCATTCCATGCAATGGGTAGTAATATAGTAAGGTCTTTTTAGTGTCAGATACTGACTTAAACCCAGAATCACCACAAAACTTGGACTATGAATGCATAGTATTAAATAATAAGCTCAAAAAATTACTGTTTAGACAGTCACAAGTAAAAGAAAATTTTATATATTCCTTTTAACCCTGATTTGGGTAAAGTACTGATTACTTTCATACTCTTTTCCTTTTTACCATAAGATATAACCTTTCATCTAAGGAATAGGTAGCTAATATAACTTTTCTTTATGTGAAGTTCCTGTAATTAAAGAAGAAAAAAACAATAAAAATGTAACAGCATAACAGGAAAGATTCCACATGAAATAGTGACTAGATGAGAATAACAGTGGCTTCCAGATATCTAGAACAATATGAAGCTGACTCACATGGCAGTTATATTTTTCTGGGTAGTTATTTGTTATTATTTTTTAAAGATTTATTTATTTTTGCATACAGAACTGGGTGCAGGACTGAGGTGTGGGGCGGTAAGAGGATTCACCAGAGACAGAGTGGGGAGCTGAACAGGCCAACTGACAAGTACACTGCTGAGGGGAGCAGCAGGTGGGTCAGGAGAGTTCTGCTGTGCCATGTGGGTCACCTCTGGGGCGGGGATCAAACTCATGCTGAAGTGGCTTTAACTTCTTAGTGCTCTGCTTTAACCCGCTGCACCACCAGGGAGGGCCTGTTTTTTGTTAATTTAAAATAAATCTTCCATAATGGGTTTCTATAAATGGAGATTCACTGTCTATTTTTACAATTAATATGTTACAAGTGTCCAGGATAGGTAAGATTAAGGGCTTATTCAGCTTGTCATTACCACCCCCTTGTCTGATTGCTTTGATATCAAAATTACTTGTAAGATAACCCTGGAATATCTGCAGTTTGACTGTAAATCATTTATATTTTCCTCCTAAATTGAATGCTAAGTACCAGTTACTCCCATTCCTCATGTCTAAACCAGTATATCTTCCATTCAAGGAAACTACTCTGGTCCTCCTGAATAGCAAATTAAAACATGATAATAGCCTTTTTTCTCCATCTGTAAGACTGTTAGGTTATTTTTTTTTCTTTAAACTTAGGGATACTAAATAATCTGTTGTCAAGTATACTTCATATAGAAGTTAGAAATTCAGTTGTTGTAGTCAGAAACTACTTAGCATGTTGGTAAAGTCTACAGAAGCCCTGCAGTGGGCACATGGGAATAGAGGATCTGTTCTTGACCACTGAACAGACTTCTGTATCTTTGGATTTTAGGAACAGTTTAATCGACTGTTGGTACCTAGTAAATATAAAGTAATATAATATTTGACATACCTTAATATAAATCTATGGTGAGTTCAAAATATTGTATAATCTTTTCATCTATTTTAAAATTGTGTAACTCACCAATAAATTCTGAACAGGCAGTTATTAAATATAATTAAATTGCAGGCATTCACACAACAGAACAAAAGAAAGCATTCTCAGCAAGTGAACAAGAGACTAGTGAGACAGCTAAAGAAATTTCATTGGGGTAGGGGTGGATTTGAGTAGTTTCTTTTTAGCATTGACTTCTAGAAGAACAATACAAGCATACAGGAAGTATAGCATGCCTCTAAAAACAAAGACAAGTGCTTCTCATCTATAGTTCCTTTCTTTGTCCCAGAGTACATTTGTTTTAAGAAAGAGTACATGCTTTTCCTACCTGGACCATGTTCTTATTCAGTTCAGCGAAATTCCACACTGCTTTGGACCTGCCAGCCATTAGGAAAAACTTGGACCCAGAAAACAGTGATGGAACATCCAACACTATACAGATGGGTTGAAGGGTTATTGAAATATTTTAAAGTAAATCTTTCCTGAAGTTGCTTGTATTCTATTTCAAGATTTGGATGTACCTTGAGTCTTCAGGAACCTTTTTTTCTTTCAGGATTACCCATTCTGTAAAATTAGGACTCCACTTTTGTGACTTCATTTAACCATAATGATCTCCTAAAAGCCTTATCTCCCAATACTGTGATATTGGAGAGTAGTTAGGCCTTCAAGATAGGAATTTGCAGAAGACACAATTCATGTCATACCAACCCTTTCTAAAATAGGTTAGGAAGAGATAACATATTGTGTGTCAGGTTAGAAAACTAATAAAATGTTGCAATTGAGATTCAGAGATTAAACTCCACACTGCTTTTCTTCGTTACAGAAACATTTTATCAAACAAAAATTTTTCCTCTCACAAAATAGAAATCAGTAGTAGATCACAAGGAATCATCACAGTCAATTTCAAGGTTTTGCATGCTGCATTGTTTTAGAAGATGGGGTAGATTTTCACTGCTAAAGATTACTAAAACTAGTATGTTCTGGGTCTTTCAGTTAGCTGAACTCAGATTGCCTTAAACTTGTTGTCAAAAGTGGTAAGTTTTTCAGTGTTATTTTTGAATTGTAGTGACTGCTGGAGTTGCCTTTCCATCATTCTCCACAGTTAAAGTATCATTTTGTATTTTATAGAAAATGATTTAAGAAATGTGGGACCAGTGGATGCTCAAGTATATCTTGAAGAAATGTCTTGGAATGAAGGTTGGAATTTGTCTTATTTTGTTGCCTATACTAAAAGAAAAAGAAAAGATGGGGAAATTTCTGAGAGAAATAAATGAACCCTCATTGGATACTTGGAAAGCTTAAAAATAATAATAGCTTGGCTTTCTATGTATATGTGTGATGTTTTGTTTAAACAAGAGTGTTTCTATTTCATTCTAAACTTTATTGATATCTCCCTTTGTGACTCATTTCTAGGTATTTTTCTATTCTAATTAGATGTTAGAGACAAAAGGTTTCATAAGGTTTTTGTTTTTAAACTACTTGTTGTTGATTTACTCTGTGTAAAATGTGAAAAAGTTAATTTTTCTCAGCCTTATTTAGTACTTCAGGTAAACTCCTGTTAGGATTTTTATTTTTGTTTCTTGATATAGATACGAAATAACCAAGGCTTGTCTGGAGCCTGAATGTACCTGTGTATTAGAAAGCAAAGAAAATTCTGTCACTCCTCTTAAACCTCATGAAGTTATGTCTTTCCCCCTTTCTGATTACTAGAATTTTAAATTTATAATTTTCCTTTTCCTACAAAAGTTGTGCATCTCTTTGGCTCCCTAGGAAAAGAAAGAAAATCATTATTTCCTAATACTTGCATATACTTTACCTTATAACTTTACTGGTCAACTTGGAATACAGATTCCCTATGGATCTATAAAAAAATTTACTAATGAGTGGGGATTCGGACCACTTTTCTTGAATCCAAGCTTACTAGGTTATTTTTTTTTAATGGCAAATCCTTAATTTATGAGTGCTCATGAAAGTTGGTTGAAAGTTTTGATTAAGGAACACTTTGCTGCTAACCCCTCAATTGAAATCCAAGGGTAGATTCTCATTTGCAGTGGATGATCGAAAAACTTGAGGTTTTATGTTTTTAGGCTTCTTAGTGATGGTGATAATTTCATCAGAGATAACAGGAAGAACTATTGCTGTGAACATACTAGTGACACTAACTTTCGCTTCTAAGTCATGAAAGGGATAGAGATCCACTCAGCTAAAAGTACAGCCTATCCGCCTTCTCTTTCAGTTATGTGTATGTGTGTTCAATCCCCTTCTGGACAAATTAGTTCTTCCAGTAGTTGACAGGTCAAATACATTTTGTTTACTAATGGTTCCTATAATGTGAAAATAGTGAAACCTGGTTTTTGTAAATTGTTCTTCTTAACCTTTTAAAAGTATAATAACATTTTAAAATAAGAATAGGCATCAGTGGTTCAAGCATCTGTTCCATCAAAAATATGTGAGCTTTTTAATACAAGGGAAAATGCCATGAAATTGAAGGAAATGTACAGCATGAAATCATCAAAAGTTACTGTGTTTTGCTGTCCTTGGGATTCCCTGACTGTAAAGAAGGTACAGAAGAATCCCAGGCACAACCAGTGAATCAGTTATAAGCAGCTACAGTTAATCTTAAAAGTATAGGATGTCTTTAGAAGCTTATTTAAATTAAGGGCTTTTTATAATTGTAAAGCCGGAAATAATCCTTATCCTTGTGAGAGAAAATACTGAGCAGCTGCATGCCATTATTCTTGCAGGAATATTTAAAATCCAGCCATGTAAGTTTTGCAATTGAATTTGCAATTTTGAATTGTTCCTTGCAATTGAAGAGAACAGTCTCAGCAGATGAAATTAAATAAGAATATGATCAACTGGACACATAAAAAATTGAGGGTTCCTTAATTGGTCATTTTCCAAGTGAAAATCTACAACAAGACATGAGTAAAACCCTAGAGATAAAAATAACCCAATTGTCAGGCTCTCCATCCAAGGACAGTATGAAACGATGCAGTACATGCTGCATATAAAAGGCATACCTGAAGAACTGCTGTGAGATGGAAGTTAATTTTTTCCCTTGCAGATATTCTGTCATGTAATTTCATTCTGTGGTCTTCATTGAGTATACTTAAAATTATTTACGTGATGGTATCATTTTGTGAAATGATAGTAGAATAAAAAGACATTTGACTAGATGTGCGTTTTTAATGTTTGGAATCATTTGTGACAGTAGCCTGTGGTGGCCTCTGCCTCATTTACTGAGTCCACATCACTTCAAAGTGTCTCTTGCCATTCACTGAGGTAGTAAAAGAACAAGAGAGTTAGCTTAAGAATATGAATGATTAGGGTATGTGTACTCTCTTAATTTAATACTATGACTTTTCACTGTGGAAATATGCTGTCCTACATGTATGTATGTTAGCTTAGATAAGGAAGATGTTAGCATTTTTAAATTCAAGATGAAATTATTTTAATGGAAAGAAAGGCATTGTGGTGAAAAATAAAAAGGAAGCTTGAGTGAATGAGTACATGTTTTTTAAGCTAATAGCAGAAATTTTTTAAAAATTATTTGGTTACTTAATTATTTGGTTACTAACTTTTCCAAGGTGAAGTTAATTAGAAAGCAATTATAAAAGTTTACTTTTTCTTCTTCCTCCTCTTGCTTTTTTCTCTTCGTTTCTCTTTCATTTATGTATGTGTTAAAAAATGAAGTTTGACAATTGAATATATTTGATTTAGAAAATCTAGTCTTTTGAGACTTAATTTTTATGTCTAAAAACTATGAAAACACTTAAAATGGTGTGATTAGTAGTTATTTTTGACAGTCATTGCACAGTGATAGTAAAATTGACCAGTCTATCAGAGATTGATAAAAGGTCATTAGCTGCTTTCTCTTAAAAGGATATAATCTAGACAAAAGCATTCTTCCTACCAATAAAACAGCTAGAGTATGACAGTAGCACTGTTTTCATTTTACCTCCATTGTAGTATTTTTGACAAATGCCTTATTGAAAAGAATGTAAAATTTATGAGTTTTGAGAAAACAGAAGATTTCACAGAAATTTTAGAATTCTTAACCTCAGCTCTTCTCTCAGGTACTTTCTTAGCTTTGTCTCATCTCCTGGGCAGATAAAGATTCTTCAGTAGATAATTTTTAGAAACACTACCCCCGTTGACAATATTTTCTTGAGTTCTTTCTTACTACATCCTATTTATTTTTCAGGGTTTTTTTAAATTTTGCTTTACATTTGTGTGTGTAAACAGCATTTTTAAAAGAGTATTAGTAGTTACTTGTATGCACTTAAAGTGTTCTTTTGTTTTCTTTGCAGATGATCATTCTTTTTCTCTCAGTTGCCGATGCGGTGGAACATACAGTGTTTCCAAGGAGGAAGCAGAAGAAATTACTTTGGTTTCTTGTGATACGTGTTCACTAATTGTAGAACTACTTCATGATAGCTGAACTTGTTCACTAAGTGGTTCCTTTCACTTTGAATATAGACAGTGAGAAAAGTCCATTCCAACTTTGTACATCCAGCCATGTATAAAGTTGGTAAGAAGCAGGATTTTTTTCTGCTTGCTCATATTATTTGTAAAAAAAAAATGAGATTGTTAAACAAAGGAAAATTCTTTTCAGTTTTTTCTATTTTTGTATTTATATCTTACAGCTCACCAATGGGGGTGGGGGTGGGGGAGGGGACATGAACAATAGCCTACAGTGCATAAATGCCCATCTGAGAACTTGTGTTTGGTTCGTTTTTTCCTTGGTACAAAATTAGAATTTTTTTTTTAAATAAGTATATTTCCTCTCCTTAAATGGATCATAAGAATTATTATAGATTCCTGTATAGTTACTACAGTTTTCATGTAATACATGATGTTTCTCGCTGTATGCCTACTATATACTGATTTCAAATTCTCAGGTCACTAGAAGTAAATTATAGTTTTTGTGAATAACATAAACCTAATTCTCCCATAATAAAGGGTAGACAGGGATTTTCATGGGATTATTTCAAAGTTAAAATAAAGAAGGCAAGTGGCAGCTCTAAGAAAGATAGTTTTAGAGTCAGAAGACTTGACTCTAACCCTAGCTTTGTATTTAAAATCTTCATGTGGCTATATTAGTGGGAACAACTCTTCAGCACTATTATCCCCAACTTTAAATGTGATTTAGGAAATGGTAGCTTAGAAAAATTAATTTGAAGCAGGTATAGTATGTTTATTCAAAAGTATTAAAATAGAGTAGCAATGACTGTACTTGTGAATAAGAAACCAATGTATTGTTTGAAGCAGATTTTTATAACATATTTAATGACGTTAATAGACTTAAAGCTTTATTTTTCTATATAGTTCATATTTTATGTACAATGTTGAGTACATATTTAAAGAGTTTTAAATTCTTGAATTTGGGGGGGTCATTTAAACTATTATATTTCAGATGAGTAAACAAAACACGTGACATCACAACTTTTTATTAGAACAAACTGATATTTATTTTTGGATTGGACTTAAAAAATGACACCATCACCTGACATGTAAATGTCGCTAAAGTATGAACCATATGCAAGGGGAGATGACTTTCATTGTACCTATAAAACCAAAAATTCAGTGAGGTAGTCATCCAGATTTCCCCCCCAAAAATACCTTAACTCTATCAAAATTTAAATGATTTAACTGGGGTTACATTTGTATCCATATATTTGTAATTACTTAGCTTTCACAGTGTTGGCTATTTTCCCAATTAAAAATAACTAAAGCTGAAAACAGTTGATTAAGTACATGGTTTTAGTAGCAATAAGAAATCCACTTGAACTGGAGACAATAATCAGATCAAAAGAATAAATCCTTGCTAATCATCAGAAAATCTGTGGCCATTAGGGCTGTCACGTAGAAATCCAAAATCACTCAGAGGCCATATCTGTAAAATCAAAATGTGATTGAAGATAATTAATGAAAGTGATGTTATATCATCATCAAATTCCTTTTTATTTCATTTATCCCTTTCTCTCTGCCAGATAACTCCACACCTCTTCATTCTCCTGCCAGCTACAAATTTTCTACATGAAAATTAGGACTTTACAATATACATTTGTGTATATGCATATCTATTTACACTCCAAAGTTTGAAACATTCAAATATATAAGAAATTATATGTTTGCAGTATGTGGATGTGTCTGTATTTTATTTACTACCCTCAAATAAGAGTTAACTGTAAATACTTGAATTTAACATCTGTTTAAGTGTAAAGAATACTGTAAATTATCCAACAGCCCTTAGTATTCATGTCTGTTTTTATCTTTACTGCATGTACAAAAAGAAGGAGCCTGTGAAAACAGTAATTTTTCCGAAGGTTCATACATTTACTACACTATGGTGAGAAAATTACTAACTGAATTAGCTGTAATAGCCTTACATTACAGATAGTTTAACTCTAGACTTCTCTTGTAATTTCAAAGTTTATTTTTTTTATCAGCTAAGAAAAGAAAGCCTAATTTTAATCCAAAGACAATACCTTAAAAAATATACGTCCTCTTATTAGTCCATATGGAATAGGTCCATAGTACCTGGAATCTGTAGAATTCTGTAGATTATCACCTTCTAACCAAACGTGACCTGTTGGCACCTAAAATTAAGAAGAAAACAGCCCTTTTAAAAAATAAAAATAAAAGAGCAAGGTACTATATAAAAAGTATGTCTTTCAGATTAGGGAGAAATGTCCTAAAGTTGTCTTTTATAAAGTAGATATACAACCTGTAATTTGCATCTTTGCTTTTATTCTTTCCCAATAAACTACCTTTTGCTAAATATGTGCAAGTAATATTAGAATATCAACTATTTGAAAGACCTATCATTTTTGCCATATGGTTCCCAAACATTAATTTGTTACACAAACCCCCAAACTCGAGTTATAAAGCTTAAATATTGTGACAGGGTCATTAATTAATAGACTTCAAAAGAGGTCATTAGGATGCTGACTGAAAATGTGCCCTCCTGTCTCAATAACAGCATAAGCAGGGCAGCACTCACTAGCAACATCCTGGGGCCAGTACCAAGGCCAGACCTATTAGAATGCTCATGATGAACTAAACGGTAATTGATTGTGACATCAATTACAAATAATCTCATCATTTTATTGGAGCAGACTTGTCAAATTCCTAATTAAGATTCCTGTTCTTCTTTTGTACAGGCCATATCTTTCATGCATTATACTTCAATAATGACCATCAAAATCTAGAAGGACCTATTATAAAATCATCAGTTGTAAATTAATGGTGGTGACCTTCTACTAAATTAAAAAACCCTGTCACCTATATATGTCCTATATATTAACTGGTAAGTAATGTAAGTTTAATTTTTTACTCAGTGACAATCATAAGCATATTTAGAACTGTCTCTGATGAGACATTTGCCCATTAATCTACTCTATAAACTTTATAAATTATTGTCCAACAACAATCATTACAATAGCATTTTACGAGATTTTGTTATCCAACAAATTATTGACCAAACCAAAATGTATTTTCACTATTATTTTGACTGGCTTTTACTTAGGAACCTTCTATGAAAGAAAATGTTCCTATTGGGCTTAATAAGAAATGACTGCAGTTTTTCATGTTGCAAATTATTTTTTTGAAACTTTTTGGAGCAGTTTTAGGTTCACAGCACAACTGAAAAGCACAGAGATTTCTCATATGCCCTCTGCTCCCACTCATGCGTAGCTTCCTATTACTGATACCCCCATCAGAGTGGCATATTTGTTGTACTAGTGAACCTATCTTGACACATCATAGTCACACAACTCCATAGTTTATAGAGTCCAGTCTTGGTATTGGTGTGTGAGCTATATCCATTGTTACAGAAGACTATTTTAATTGTCCTTAAAAACTCCTTGTAGTCTGTTTTCTTTTGGAAAAATAAATTTAAACAAACATGTCATTTTATATTAGATGATATAATTCTAGAATGTTATGTAGAAATATTTGCCAAAGGCTTCAAAATATTTTCATTTAGATCTAAATACTCGATCTGTATTTGTATAGAAAGAACCTAAGTTTGCTAAAAGAATAGCAAAGATATTTAAGATCAACTCACATTTATTAGGTGAACCAGTTGCAGGTTCTAGATGCAATAACAAAGCTAGTGCTCACCTATATAAGTGGATTTATATACAGTGAAGCACAATGGGTGGAAAAAAAGAGAGGAATAGTAATGCAAAAGCATGTATATATGGCTTTTTGGTGTTTTAATTTTAAGAAGTTAATTTGATCCTTATAACAACCTGTGAAATATGGAGGTTCAAATATGGAGCATGCTAACTCCTATGTAGTGGAAGTCCCTACATGCTAATACACATGCATGTCCATGTATGTCCTCCCTTTCTGTGGTTTTATTTTCTGTAGTTTCAGTTACTCATGGTCAACCCCAGTCTGAATAACACACTTTCAGAGAAAAAACCCACAATGTTTACATAATTTTTATTAACAGCAGATTGTGAAATTGTTCTATTTTACTATGAGTTATTGCTGGTAATCTTTCTTCGCCTAACTTACAAATTAAGACTTACCACAGGTATGTATGTACAGGAAAAATACGTGTATGCATAGGTTTCAGTGCAGCCCATGGTTTCAGGGGTCTTGAATGTCTCCCTTTATATAACTGTATAGTAAAGGAATAACCTCTACATCTCACGGACTTCAACACTTGGTATCAAACACACAAACCAAGAAAATAACTTCTTCACAGATGGTAACTTCAATAACAGCTTCTTGATAACCAGAAACACCTTTAAGTGTAAGTCTTAAAATTGAAGCAGTCACCTTTATTGACCTGCTTCTATCAATTATTAGATACCCAGTAAAAAAAAAGTCTATCATGTTTGAAATTATTCTACTCTTGAAACAATTGTTTCTGGTATGGGGTGAAGGTGTGCACCTTTAAAACCCATTTTATAGAGTTATACTTTATAGCGTAGTATTTTTTTTTTAAGTTATGATACTTATTTTGAAAAATGTGCATATCTATGTAAATACCAACCACAGTCAAGATATAAAATACTTAAAACATGTGAATAAGCTCCCTCAATTCAAGTCAGCCCACTGTGCCTCTATCTGCTCCCAGACAACTAGTGATTTGTTCTGTTATCAGAGACAAGTTTTTCTTCTTCTTAAAGTTCACATCAGTGAGACTTAGAGTACATATTTCATGTCTAACTTCCATTCTGCAATTTTAGAAAAGAATTATAGCCATAATTCAATACAGTAAAAGCCAACAACTTGACTATTATTAGCAAAATATTTTTAGAAGAATCACTATAATGACAGAATTATGAAATGAAAATAAATGCTGCAATTGCTTTGTACAGTAGATGGGGAGAAATGCAATAGACAAAAACAGGCAGAAAAATAAGGGTAACCAGCATTTTTAATAGGCTGCCAAATAGAGAACAGAGGAAGATAGTATTTTGGGAAAGTGAGGTATACCTTAAAAACTCATGAAGTGTATCTGGGGGACCTATAATAAGGACTTCCCATTGGTAGAGATCATTGTCAACTCTTAAACCTACTGAAACCCCTGCCATTGGATTTTATATTGAATTCTGCCAGCTGCCTGCACAGCAGTAGTGCTAAATTCAATATATCATCCTCCCTGGTAAGACCCAGAGTCACTGCAGGCTTTGCCGGCCTGCTGGAATTGGGTGTGTTGAGGAACCCAGGACCCACAAGGTAGGAGGCCTGGTTGGGTGGTGGTAGTGGTACCTGCAGTTAGTGCCAGTACAGTCAGTTCTTCTCACAATGCCTTCTTTTGTCAATTTTTTATGACATCTATGTTGAATGTATCAGTTATTCCTTCTTACTGCTGAGTAGTCTACTATAAATCACAGTATTTATCCATAAACCTGTCAATGGATATTTTAGTTGTTTCTTTTTGGGATTATTACAAGGCACTATTAAGATTCATATTCAAGTCTATTTTCAGTAAATACCTATAGGTGGAATTTCTGAGTTAAGTATGCTTAACTGTAGTTTACCAACTTGATTATAACATTTTATCCTCCCAACAGTAATGTACAAGTCTTGTTGCTCCACAATCTTGGTATTTTCAGTTTAGTTTTTAAAGATTTATTTATTTGTACATACAAAACTGGGGTACAGGCCAGAGGCTCGGGGGTGGTGAAAGGCTTCACCAGAGACAGAGTGGGGGGCAGAACCGGCAGATGGACGAAGTACACTGCTGAGGGGAGCAGCGGGCGGGTCAGGAGAGGTTTGCCACGCCATGTGGTCACCTCCAGGGCAGGCAGGAATCGAACTCATGCGGAAGTGGCTTTAGCTTCTCAGTGCAGTGCTTTCACCCGCTGCACCACCAGGTAGGGCCTCAGTTTAGTTTTTTAATTTAATTTTATTTTTGCTATTCTATTAGGCTACTGATAGTATGCTGTGACTTTTCATTTGCATTTTCATATGCATTTGAATTTCTGTAACAAGCTTATTTTGTGATGTGATGTGTCTATTGAAATATTTTACCCATTTCTAGATGGGTTGTCTTTCTACTGTAAGTTCTTGATGTACCTTAAGTCTACTTTGCATTTGACAGGTGATGCAAGTATTTCCTCCAAGTTTATAAACTGCCTTTTTATTTTCAGAATGTCTGAAAGCAAGTGGCTTTTTCTGAGGTCTAATTCGTCTTTTTTTTCCAGTTATGCTTCATTCATGTTTATTGTTAACATGTTTACCACCCCCAGATCCTGAAAATATATCCTACATTTCTTCTGGTTTTTAGATTTGTTAGCTTTATGTTGAGGTTATATGATCTATTTTGATACAACTTCTGGTATGAAATGAGGTATTTCTGTTATATCTACTTTTTGTTCCCTTTCTTTTTCTTTGGAATGAGTATTATTTTCTTTGGAATGAGTATTGAAATGTTTTATTTTCTCTGTTGTTATTTTCAAAATACATCTTATTTTTCAAATCATGTTCCATACTTATATATATCTTCAGTTAGTCTAAATTAAGAAGCAAGTATTAACACTTTCATATACGATACCACTTTATGTAAGATTTACAACAGTGTATTTCCATCCCCACCACTACCCCTGATCTCTGAGCTATAGTTTTAAAAAATTTTACTTCTACTCATTCATCAATCCCACAATAAATTATTACTTTTTATCTAAGTTATCTTAAATAAATTTAAGATTTAAATTTGTTTGCAACAAGAAACAAAAGCTTTGTATTTACCCATTAATATTACTAGGGTTCTATATTCTTTTATAAATTCAAATTTTCATGACTTTTTAGCCTGAGAAACATCTTTTACTTGAGGATTCTGGCAATGAATGTTCTCAAAAATTGTTTGAAATGGTTGTTTAAAAACACCTTTATTTTTCCCTCATTTTTGAAAGATATTTACAGCAGTTAATATAGGATTCTATATTAACTGTTTTTTTCCTCCAACATTTTAAAGATTTCATAGTCATCTATCTTACTCAGCTCCTGGTGACAGAGAAGAAGAAATTCTTTATGCTCACATTGTATGTAATGTGCATATTTTTCTCTGGTAGTTTTGAAGATACTTCTCTTTATCATTCCTTTCTGCCACTTGATAATGATGTCACCTGCTTTG